TTAGATGGCCCAGCTTCAGATTTCCCAGCCGTCGATGACCCAGCCTTAGACAGCCCAGCTTTAGATTTCCCAGCCTTAGATGGCCCAACCTTAGATGGCCCCAGTCGTAGATGGCCCAGCCGTAGATGGCACAGCTGTAGATGGCCCAGCGTTATATATCCCAGCCGTAGATGGCACAGCTTTAGATAGCCCAGCCGTAGATGGCCCAGCTTTAGATTTCACAGCCGTAGATTGCCCCTGCTTTAGATTTTGTCACAGCCGTAGATGGCCAAGCTGTAGATTTCCTGGCTTTTGATTTCCCAGCCGTAGATTCTCCAGCTGTAGATTTCCCAGCCGTAGATGGCCCAGCTTTCGATTTCCCAGCCGTCGATGGCGCCCAGCTTTAAATTTCCTAACCTTAGATGGCCCAGTTTTAGGTTTCCCAACTTTAGATGGCCCAGCCGTAGATGGCCCAGCCGTAGATGGCCCAGCCGTAGATGGTCCAGTCGTAGATGGCCCAGCCGTAGATCTGGGCCATCATAGGATGATACCTGGTGACTTTTTTAGCACTCTTTAGGATCACTGAAAACAGTTATAGGCTATCACGAATACTATCGAGTGCTGAAAGTCAACACATGCCTGCCTCAGCCTGTCGCGCAATGCAGGTCAACTAGATCTTAAACTCTAGTAGAAAGATAATCATACGAGGTAAACTATATTACGAGGTAGACAACATCAATTTATATTCATTCTACAACTACAGGAATACACAACAAGTATAATAAACGCACCATGTTGTACGATATGACAAATGTTGTCAATTATTTTTTGCATTGGAGGCCTTCTACTCGTTCAGTATCATGTATTCCTTCGCATATTCTGTAGCCTTCCGCATGTGGTCATTTTATTCCCGTTGCTTACCAGAAAAATCGCACGCTTCAATATCCCAATCGGGAACTTGGCTTTTCAGTGGGCGTACGCACCGCTGCCAATTTGCTAGGCGTTGCGATAAGTCAAACTGTGGGAGAGCCAGCAGTAGTAGGCCTCCAATGCAAAAAAAAATTTGGCATCAATGTCATATCGTACAACATGGTGCGTTTATTATACTTGTTGTGTATTCCTGTAGTTGTAGAATGAATCCAAATTGATGTTGTCTACATCATAATAGTCAAATAATCCACCGACAGCGTTCACTATCTGGAATACCCGATAACCACCATAGCAACTGATATCCAATGGCTACGCGTCCCCTGGCACCGGCGAATACGTTTTTTTGTTAAAAAAAAACAGAACTTAGAACTTATTTTTTTTTTTTTAACCAATATGAGGTACTCGGTGGGGGGGGGGGGGGTTAACTGAAACGATGTAAGTCAATGACCAAATATTTTGGAGATTTGTTTAGACTGCGAGCACTATGACTGCGACCGGGTCTTGCGACCACTATGCCTGCGACTCTCGACTGCGACTCTTATGCCTGCGATTCTCGACTGCGACTATTATGCCTGCGACTCTCGACTGCGACCTCTATGCCTGCGACCTGGTCTCGCGACCACTATGCCTGGGAATCTCGCCTGCGACCCGTTTTATGTCTGATGCCTGGGAATCTCGCCGTTTTATGGTTTTAGGGTTTTAGGGATATAAACAAATACAAATATCATAGCTCCCTGAGAAAAAAGAGATCAGTTGTTGAATATTCAGGGGCTATGCATATATAC